TGCTGCCCTGGCCTGTCGCTGACCGCGGGCACACAGGTGCCCTGCATGCTCATTCACACGCACCACCACCGCTGGGTGGCATGGGGCTGACAGGTTCACGGTGCCAGGGGCGGGAGGGGCCAGGCAGCCATGGAACCCACCGGGCGATCCCATTCCTATTGTAATTTCAGACGTGGGGCCGGGAGGAGAATACCTTGTCATTTATTCATGATTACACGGGTTCTTGGTAACTGGAGCCTCGGAGCATTCAAAGGGCAGCTCGCAGCGGGGAGATCGGTCGCTGTGAACCCAGCCGAGCCCTGGGGCTTTGCGTCCGGCGCTTTCTGGGAGCCCCAGCGTCATGTGGGTTGTGCTGAGGCAGGGTGGTCCGGTGGGGAGGAACCAGGACACCTGGGTTCTATTCCAGGCCCTGCCCTTGGGCAAGTCATTTCAGCCCAGGTCCTCCCATGTATCCAGGTGCCTAACTCCCCTTGATTTCCAGGGTGTCAATGGGCGTTAGGAGCCTGAATCCCTTTGAGGACCCAGGCTGTCTCTCAGTGGCACTGTTCCCCCTCCCACCCTTTGTCGCCCTTGTGCAGTTGGATTGTAAGTTCCTGGCAGCAGGGGCCTGGCTCTCAGCTGGGCCCTGCAGGGGCTCTGGTAATGGGCACAGTCGCCGGAGATCCTCACAGAACCCCGTTCCTTAACGGGCGGGGCGCCGAGAAGTGGAGGGATCAGCCTGAGGCCACACAGGGATTCGGGAGCTAACCCCACAGCCAGTGCTTCAAGCCCAAGGCCCAGCCGCCCACTAGGTTGCCACGGTGACACTTCGGGCCTTGTAATTGTGGGGAGCCCTTCACCTCTGCGGTGAGGCACTGAGGTCATGGGACACCCCAGCTTGGCAGTAGGGGCCACAGGCTTAGCTGCTGTAGGGCTGTATGGGAAGAGGGAGCCATCCCCTCGCCTGCCAATGGGGGTGCCGGGTCCCCTCTCCTCCCCGGCTCCCCCCTCGCCGGAGGCACCCCTAACGCCCCCCTCTTGGCTCCACACAGGTGTTCAGCACCTATTCCAACGAGGACTACGACCGCCGGAACGAGGATGTGGACCCCATGGCTGCCTCGGCCGAGTACGAGCTGGAGAAGCGGGTGGAGAGGCTAGACCTCTTCCCGGTGGAGCTGGAGAAAGGTGAGGAAGGAAGAGGCTGGCACTGCCCGGGCTGCGGGGGGCTCTCCCTGCTGGCACTGGGGAGGCTAAGGGCCGGATACTCAGTGACCCCGTCCCTGGGCTTGGGGCTAGGATGGGGGGAGAGGTTATGGGGGCCTGGAGCCAGCTGTTCTCTGCATCCCCCCACATGCACACTCATCCCCCTATCCTCACACATGCACACACTTGCACATTCATCCCTCACACACTCATCCCCCACATGTTCATCCATCCACTTGCACACTCATATACACCCCCATGCACTCGCACACTCATGCACACGCTTCCCCATGCACTCACATGCACACATACTCCCCCACGCAGCTGCACACTCACACACACACTCCACCTTGAACTCACACACTCATACGCACACTGTCCCATGCACTCGCGCACACATCCACACACTTGCACACTCATCCATCCACCTACTCACTGATTCATCCCCTGCACAGTTGTACACACAGCTTCACACACTCATCCCACATACACACTCAGGCACCCATCCCCTCGCGCACATGTGCACACTCAGCCTCCCTGCACTCACCCCCTCATCCCCACCCCCTCACCCCTCCCACGTACACAAAGCTGCTCACTCGTTCGCGGTTCTCACGTGTTCACCTCACACGCTTGTTCCCTTCATGCACTCAAAGCATTCAGTGACTCAGACACAGCCTCTGTCCCATCCTCGTGCACACTCATTCCTCTCTCAAACACATACAGACCCCGGCACACTAATTCACACACATCTGGACACGCACACATTCTTGCACACCCATTAACACCCATGCTTACACACACATGGCTGTGTGCACACACATAGAGGTCACACATACACACCTCCTTGCACACTAACTCAGACACAAACATCTGTACATACAAATACAGACACCCCCCTGTGTGTGTACACGCATGCCTGTGCTGCACACCAATCTGCACATGTACCCCTCCATACACACCTGCCTGCATTCATACACCCTGGTTCACACACATAGCCTGCACACCCACGTATGCACACATTCCACTGTACACCCCCCCGTTCACACACATACCCTGCACACTTACTCGTACACACACACCACTGTACACACACACAGTTCACACACATAGCGTGCACACCTACACATGCACACATTCCACTGTACACCCCCCCAGTTCACACACACACCCTACACAGTCACTCGTACACACACATCACTGTACACACACACAGTTCACACACATAGCGTGCACACCCACACATGCACACATTCCACTGTACACCCCCCAGTTCACACACACACCCTACACAGTCACTCATACACACACACACCACTGCACGCACACACACCAGTTCACACACATACCCTGCATGCGCGCGCGCACACACACACACCAGTTCACACACATATCATGCACACACACACACACCAGTTCACACCCACTCACTGAGTGTAAGTGAATGCACTAGTGAAAGGCTCTCCTCTCTGCCCCTGCGGGATGCTCTGAGAAGCAGGCCAGGGTGGGACCAGGGTAGCTCAGAGATGGCATCTGCCCAGCAGGCCGCAGCTGGTACGAATGCAAACAGGATGCTGCGGTGCTTTCGACGGGCGAGAGACAGCACGTTGCCAAGCCTGTGTGTGGTGCGTCGGTTCCTCCCCCTCTCAGCACTGAGCTCGCCCTGGGAGGGATCGACAGGGAAGAGGGTTCGAGGCTGGGGTGGGACTCACGTGTGGAAGATCCTGGGAGGAAGAGAAGCTTGAGGGGGCTTGACTAAGGGATGAGGCTCCTAGGGGGATCAGTCCACAGCAAGGGGCGCATGGGGGAAGCAAGCAGCTGGAGGAAATGCTGCCCCCCCTGGGTCATTGGGCTGCAGGAGCTCAGAGGGTCAGGTTAGCAGGGGTGGAGAATGTTTGCAGCACTGATCGGTAGCTAAGATCCGTGCCACAAGGGGCACCAACCGCCGTGTTTCTGGGCATAAGCCGACCCCCTGGGGGCTGGGGATTTGCATCATGGCAAAGCGCAAGGCCCAGGGGGCAGGAAATCTCTCCTCGCTCTGAAGCATCAGGCGTTGGTTGCTAATGGAGGCAGGATACCGGGGTGGATGGGTCAGCGTTTGGATCCGGTCAGGCTACGAAAGCGAATGTTGTGATGTGTCTTACGGTAGAACCCAGGTTCCCCAACTCAGCCCTAGGCGCCTGCCCTGCTGGGCCTAGGTTCTAAGCCGGTATTTCAGGAGGCTAGCTGGCCCCAAACTCTGATATTGCAGGGAAGCCAGGCTATGGGACTTCGATGTGCCGGCGGGTGTGATCTGGCACTGCCCGTCCTGGGCGCTCTTCTTCACACTGACTCGTTCCTTTGGTTTCCTCTCTCTCACACAGTCATTCACCCTCCCACGCGTGCTACCGCCCGTAATTTAGCTGCCATCTGTCCTTGCCTCTCGCTGTAATAAACACTGTTCTTCTCTCCTGCTACTTCCTCGCTTTCCTCCTGCCCCCGGGGCCAGTCCTGGCAAGTTCCGGAGCCCTCCGTGCTGGGCCCCTTTGCCCATCCCTGCTGCCCCGGTGCTCGCCGGCCCCAGTTCGCCGGGCGTAGTTGTTGGGGTGACTGGAGAGAGGGGAGAGCGCCGGCCTGGCTCGGAGGCCCCAAGCGGCGGCCCACGTGACCCTGTGAGGACCCGGGTCTCTCTCTCTTGCAGACTCCGAGGGGCTGGGCATCAGTATTATCGGGATGGGCGCTGGAGCGGACATGGGCCTGGAGAAGCTCGGCATCTTTGTCAAGACGGTGACGGACGGGGGAGCGGCTCACCGGGACGGCAGGTAAGCCTGGGGACGTCGGCGACTCTCGGGCCAGAAGGGAGCACCGCAACCCCACAGAAGCTGGCGGCGGGGCTAGGAGCTGAATCCAGAGCTCATGAGTCTCAAAACCAGAGTCTTAATCCCAAAACTGAGCATCCTACTATAATGCTCAGCTCCAGAATACACGGACCTACGCCCCCTCCAACACACACGCTTTACGATCAGTCTGTTTGTTCCCTTCACTCCCAGCAGGGGGCGCTGTAGGGAGCAGGGCAGGAGCACTGGCTGTGAGGGGTGGAGCTCCCAGCTACTCCAGTCCCCATCTCTCCCAGCAGGGGGGCGCTGGTAGGGGAGCAG